CAGTAATATACTTGGGTTTGCGTGCTGCAACCCCCTTCTTCAAATCCCACCAGAGATTTTCCATGGGTTCAAGTCAGGTCACTGTGATGGCCACTGTAGAGTTCTCTAGGTATTCTTCTGTAATCAAGCCTTGGTGGAATTTGGGGTATGCTTGGGGGAAGGTCCAATGACACCCAAGCTTCAGCTTCTTCAAAGACCGCATGACGTTTTCTCCTAGGATCTCCTGATACTTCAATGAATCCATCTTGCCTTCAACACACTGCAGGTTTACAGTGCCAGAGGATATAAAGCAGCCCCAGAGCATCACCGGGCCACCACATGCTTAACTGTAGACAGAGTGTTCTTTTCAGCATATGCTTCATATGTATTCCTCCAAACATACCGTTGATCCACTAGGCTGAAAACTAGTCTTGTTCCATTACTCAACAGAACAGAATCCAAAAACTTCTGTGACTTATTTATATGATTTTGAACATATTGGAGCCAACTTTTTGGGGGCTTTTATGTCAGTAATGGTATACATCTTTCTGGCATGAAACCCTTTGGAATTTAGTAGATGCCTTATTGTGCTCACTGATACCTCCTGTTGACACCAAATCTTGCTGCAGGTCTTTTGGAGTAACTCAAAGGTTTTTCACAACCTGCCTTCTCACAAATCTGGTTGCCACCATTGATAGCTTCCCTTTTCTGCTACATCCAGGTAGTGTAACCACTGTTCCTTCAACTTTGAACATGCAAACTATGCTTCCAATGGTGTCTCTAGGAACAGTGCCTTTGTTATCTTTTCGAATCCTATTCCTTGTTTATGAAGGGTCGATGATCTTTCTTTTAACTTTGTGGACCATACTTTTGACTTAGCCATATTTCTAACATGCAGTCAAACGTGACACACAACAAACACATAGCCAGTTCAGGTATTTCACATATTCCTCAAGCACTCCTGGTACAACTAATGAAGCCCTTGATTAGTTGCATCAGTTGTGCTTGAGACAACACCTGTTTTGCATATTTTGCTGTTGTGAGGGATTCTATTGAAAAGATTGAAAGATTTTGAGACCTGGAGAAGTCATTCTAAGTTGCATTTTCAGTTAAATTGGAGAAGCCACTTGGTGCATTTGTTGTGTTAAGCTATTTCAATTGCTTTTGTTTGATTTGTTCACCGCAAACAGCTGAAAGTCTGTATATTTTTTACAAGTAACCTGATTTCCAATGGAGGTTGAATGATTTTGATTACAACTGTATATCATTCTGTTCAAATGTTATGGAATAATGCATGTACAGCTATTTATGTACATCTTCATAGATCCTCATTGTTTGTCATTTGCAATCGATATGTATAGCTGTGATGACTACTGATCAAGTTTAAATTAATTCTAATTCATACAATGTCAAAAGTCCTTCTGTACATTGGAATAGCCAAACACTTAGTCATCCCCAGTTAATGTATATCTTTCTAAACCTAATAAAGGCATTTTAGGCAGGAGGTATATTTGTCTATTATATGTATAAATATTATGACTGCTACAACTTAAAGGACCACTATAGGCACCCAGACCACTTCAGCTCAATGAAGTGGTCTGGGTGCCAGGTCCCTCTAGTGTTAACCCTGCAGCTGTAAACATAGCAGTTTCAGAGAAACTGCTATGTTTACATTAAGTGTTAATCCAGCCTCTGGTGGCTTTCTCACTGACAGCCACTAGAGGCTGCTTCCGCGATTCTCAGTGTGAAAATCACAATGAGATGACACTGGACGTCCATTGAGTAATGCTTTCCTATGGGCGGTTTGAATATGCGTGCGGCTCTTGCTACTCATGCGCATTCTGAGCTGACGTTGGCAGGGGAAGAAGTGGTCATGAGCGCCGAGGAAGCCCAGGGATGGATTAAGGTAAGTGGCTGAAGGGGATTTTAAACCCTTAAAGGACCACTACAGTGCCAGGAAAACATACTCGTTTTCCTGGCACTATAGTGCACTTAGGGTGCCCCCACCCTCAGGGTCCCCCTCCCGCCCGGCTCTGGAAGGGGGAAAGGAGTAAAAACTTACCTTTTTCCAGCGCTGGGCCGGGAGCTCTCCTCCTCCGATCCTCCTCCGTTCCTCCCCGTCGGCTGAATGCGCACGTGCGGCAAGAGCTGCGCGCATTCAGCCGGTCGCATAGGAAAGCATTTATAATGCTTTCCTATGGACGCTGGCGTGCTCTCACTGTGAAAATCACAGTGAGAAGCACGCAAGCGGCTCTAGTGGCTGTCAATGAGACAGCCGCTAGAGGCTTTGGGGGAAGGCTTAACCCATTCATAAACATAGCAGTTTCTCTGAAACCGGCTTGTTTATAAAAGAATGGGTTAACCCTAGCTGGACCTGGCACTCAGACCACTTCATTAAGCTGAAGTGGTCTGGGTGCCTAGAGTGGTCCTTTAAGCCTAGCGCGAGGGGGGCTCAGAGGGAGGGGGGACCTAATAACCCTATAGTGCCAGGAAAACAGATTTGTTTTCCTGGCACTATAGTGCTCCTTTAAAACTTGAGATTGAACTGGAGTTCTCCTTTCTCTTTCTATTCTTTTCTCAGAGACACATTTACCCTGGAACTATAATGTATCAGCTATTACACTTGTGTTTCCAAGTCTTCCTTTTTTCAGAAACTCACACAATAAATCATGCAATTAAATATTTTTCCTTGAAAGTGTATTACTATAAGTGTGATTTCTTTATAGGTGTTATGATACCATTAAATATGGAGTAGCATCATAGTTCAATCCATTTTACCATTCAGAAGACTAGAAACATGACCAGCAAGAAATACCACTCTCCTCCATACAATAAAATGGTGTGTGTGAATGAGGACAATTTAAACAGTGGTTAGTACTTAATGTTACATGTTGCTGTCATCAGAATCTCATCCTTATGGACCTTATGTCAGCATGGATTGCTGAGCTTTCAGCCCTGCATCCATTAATTTAGTACACACTCTATTCTAGGATCTCTAACGATCAGATTGTTATGGTAGCACAGATTGTCATTATTTTTGAAAGGGTTTAAGACTGGTTGGTTGCAGACTAGAGTTGGAGAATGGTTTCATTCCAACAGTGGTCACTAAATAAATTTTCAAATAATGAGGTGCTAGGCTTCACCCCTGTAATTCGATCCCGCCACTCTCCACAAACTTTGCCTCTAATCTGTTGAACTTTGTCCACTTATATGGATACTATAGGCACAAAAACAACTTTAGCTTAATTAAGCAGTTTTGGTGTATAAATCATGCCCCTACAGTCTCAATGCTCGCTGCTCTGCCATTAAGAAGTTCAATCACTTTTGTTCCTGTTTATGCAGCTTTTAACCTTCTCTGTGAAGAAACAAAATGGTTTCATATCTTACTTTCTTTTTGAATTTTGTTTCTCCTGCTCTGTTAATTGAACTTTAATCTCATATAAATTCTAAATTAAATAGACTGTTTAATAAATTAAATTTAAACATTAGATCTCTCTTTACAGGAAGTGTTTATCAAGGCTGTGCAAGTCACATGCAGGGAGATGAGACTAGGATGGTATAAATAAAGTGATTTAACTCCTAAATGGCAGAAAACTGAGCAGTGAGAGTGCAGGTACATGATCTATACACCCAAACTGCTTAATTAAGCTTAATTTGTTTTGAAGTATAATATCCCTTTAATGTGCTAACACCCATATTTACTCAATAATATATTAAAGGACCACTATAGGCACCCAGACCACTTCAGCTTAATGAAGTGGTCTGGGTGCCAGGTCCATCTAGGGTTAACCCTGCCTGCTGTAAACATAGCAGTTTCAGAGAAACTGCTATGTTTATAATAGGGTTAATCCAGCCTCTAGTGGCTGTCTCATTGACAGCCGCTAGAGGCGCTTCCGCGCTTCTCACTGTGATTTTCCCAATAAGAAGACGCCAGCATCCATAGGAAAGCATTGAAAAATGCTTTCCTATGGACTGACTGAATTCGCGCATGCGCATTCAGCTGATGATGTCGGAAGAAGGAGGAGAGTCCCCAGCGCTGAGGGAGCCCAGCGCTGGAGAAAGCAAGAATTTAACCCCTTCCTCCCCCTAGAGCCCGGAGGGAGTGGGACCCTGAGGGTGGGGGGGACCTAAAGACCCTACAGTGCCAGGAAAACGAGTTTGTTTTCCTGGCACCATAGTGGTCCTCTAAGGTTTTTTTTGACAGTGTCACCTAGAGTCCAGGTTGTTGTTGTTTTTTATATATATTTTATAATTTGATTAATAATGCCTTACCAGTAACACTCCAGTGCAAGTACATTATATTTCTCAAGTCACTTAGCCTGCAGAATCATATGGGAAATGTAGTCTTCGAGAACTGCAGTGCTAAAGGTAAGGCATTATTACTAAAGAGTTTAGATGAATTTCTACATGCAGAATATCAGATAAAGTCCTACCTGTTTTCAGTTTCTGCATGGTTAGACTGCCGTGGAGAGCTATCAACCGGGAAGAGAGTTAGGGAGGGATCAAAAACATGGAGCCAGGTGAGGTCTTTAGGAGACTGCATGGGAAGAAAGTGGTGTAGGGATGTATTCAAAGCCTTGAGCAGCAGAAACAACAAGCTTAGACTATGCAGGAGGCATGGAGTAAAAATAGAGGTTGCATCAAAGGAAGTGGAGTTTTGCCAACTCAACTCCTGGTGATAGCAGTCTATGAAAGCCCAACAGATAGGCCTGTAGACAGGTCTGTCTTTTAGGGCAGCATAATTTACTCTCCTTAGCAGCAATATTGGGGGACATAATAAGGGTAGAGGGGAAGGAAACTGCAGTACTAATATTTAAATGGCTATAAACAACATGTTTGCTTAAACAGAATCATTCCAGGTGTAAATAAACCCAAAGAAAGTTAAAAACTCCAACAGGAAAAACATATATAGTTTAATTCATTTATTTACATTTTTATTGCAACAAAAACTGGTGGGCCCACCCCAGCTGACATTATGGACAAACCTCTGCTGCATTCTAAATTCAATTTGTCATATTTTGGGCCAATCAGGTGATCGTTCAAACTCCTAAACTTCAAGTTGAAATGTAACTGGACCATGAGTCCGACAAAATGCGCGTTGGTCGATCATGTTAAAAAATACTTTTAGTAACCCTTTTGGATTTTAATACCATCTATATGCTGACAATACTCAGATTTACCGCTTCACCTCTGACCTCTCTCCTGCCATCTTGTAACATATCACAAAGTGCCTCTTTTCCATCTCTAACTGGTTTTCTTCCCATTTTCTAAAACGTAATCTCTCCAAAACTGAACTTATCGTTCCACCCTGAAATGGTCCTATTACATACGTCTACTTGCTTGCAAATGGGATAATTATTATCCCAACCCCTCAAGTCTTGGAGTTACTTTTGACTCAGGTCACATGCAGTCTGTCTCCAAATCCTGTAACTTCCACCTTAAATATATTGCCAGCATTCAACCTTTTCTAACTGAAGATACAACTAAGGCACTCATCATTACTCAACTTGACTATTGCAACTCACTACTCATTGGCCTTCCAAATACTGCTTTGTCACTCTTTAGTCTGTAATGAATGCTGCCACAAGGCTCATCTTCCTGAATGACTGCTACTCCTACACCTTACCTATTTGTCAACACTTACATTGGCTTCCTGTACCCTTCAGGATCCAGTTAAAATAAATAACACTAACCTACAAGGCCCTCAATAACTCAACTCTGTAATATCTTTCCTTTTTACTCAACAAATATGCCCCTTTGCTCTGTGAGTGACCTTCATGTGACATCTGCTTGTTCCCACACTGCCAACTCACATGTGCAGGATTTTTAAAGGGCTAAAGTATTACGATGGAATTCCCTACCCCATACTATCAGACTCTAGTCCCTAAAAACATCTCTCTTAATGAAATCCTACTATCTTCCAGGATGATGCTCCTCTCACTGCAATTGCCCTCTTCAGTGTTCTCACCACTGTAGCCCAGCTCACTCTCTCTCTCCTTCCACTGTTTTGTTCTTCCACACACTACTTATACTAGCTAATTTTGACAAAGGATTTTATCCATCAATTCCTTCTCCCCTCTGTAATGCTGTTGTTTCTCTGGTGTGTCTTTATCCCTTCCTTATAGATTGTAAGCTTGTTTGCGAAGGCCCTTCTGCACCTCTTGCCTCTGTCAATATTATGTCAATTACTTTTTCTTACGATCTGTATTCTATAATTATAAATATAATATATTATGTATACATTTTGTATTACATTATTTGGATAATTTTTGCACCCTTTTGGTTAGTCTGATTCATTTTCCAAATCAGTTTTTCATTTTGCAAAGTCCAACCAACATATGACCAAAATTTGGCCATCCTAAATTTATACATATTTTAGGAGCCATGGACATCCTTTCCAGAAATGTGGTAATGTATATATATATTTTTTCACATCCCAGCATGTACATCTGTGGGGCTTCTACATACACACAAAAATAACAGACAAAAACACGTTTACATTTCCAGACAAAAAGAGAAGTTACCATAGCATATTTCACAATATGTTAATGTGTCTGAAGCTGCTAGAATGACTAAATAATATCAACTTAATCCGCTTACTGTGACTTGAATGGATAGCATAAATCTGATGGCGCTATATAAATAATAAAATAATAATAATAAAAATATATACTAGCCCTTTCAATATCAAACAGTGATGGTTTCAAACAACTGGATTAAAGTGTATTGAATAGGGAGGCAGCCAACATGCCTCAGATTTGTACAAACATCTTATTGCTGAGTTCAGGGATTTCTCTGTTAGCTTTGATTTTCACTCTTTTACCCCATAAAAAGCTACTAGTGCTTTAAATGGAGCCTTTATCTTTTCCTGCAGTAGAGAAATAAGACTGTTTTCCTAATGTGTAATGGTACAACGTTAATCAACCAGAATGTGTGTAGCACAGAGGTGCCAGCTCTACATCTTTAGTGTGAAAGGAAAGGATATAAAAGTTCACTTTGACCAAAGCAAAGAAAAAAGTCACAAAAAAAGAAAAATGTCCCTACAGTGAATGCAAAGTAATTAATCTGCACAGAAACACTGGGTGTTCTAGGTACATGTCACATTTAAAAGAAACAATAGGGGAGTTCTGAGAGTATATCTTCTTCACACTATAAACATGAGTTCATGTTTTCCTCTTTATAGAATGTGCATAAAATGGTACAATAACACTTTGTACTTTTTTTCTTTCTTCACATGAGACAATGCATAACTCTTAGACACATGGAACAATGTATCCGTCTCTATAGAATGTTCATGAAAGTAAACAATAACACTCTGTATACCTTGCTCAACAATGTTATCAGTCTTCTTAGAATGTTCATCAAATGAAACAAAGTTACAGTTTTTGACACATCAACCTCATGTGCAATAGTTAGTCAAATACAAAACAATCAATCCTGTATCCACAAATCTTTCCTGAACAGGAAGCAGTAAACATAAGAAATAAATCCAGAAATGGTGCTGAAACAATACGAAGAGGGCTTTTTTTCATTTATAGTGTGTCTTATTCTGTACGCAGAGATTTCCAACAGAAGCCCGGCTCTGCATGCAGCTGGGGAGGAGGGGAGGGGGGAGGAGGAGTAAATGCTTGGCACTGGTGTTCTTCTTTCTAGGAGCAATCTCAGCTTTGGAAGGTTTGAAGAAGGAGCAGTAGTTCCAGAAGGAGAGGATAAGGTGCTGTGGATTCTGTCCTGCCCAGAGGGGGGGAGGGAGGGGTGAACCAGAGGACTCTCACCTGAGAGGGGACAAGAAGAAAGAGGTCATAGACATGTACAGCTCTCTACTTGCCTCACCCAATGGAAGTGCATCGATTGGCCATCTCGCCCCCGCTTGCTTGAAGCTGTGAAATGAAAGGGGGTGGAGGGGAAGGTATAGGGGGAAACATGGAATAGAGAAAGGGATGGAGAGGACTCAGAGGTTCAAACAGACCTTAATCTGCTCCCACTGCATATGAAGTGCTGATCACAAGTGAATCGGGCTGGGGAGTGGCTGAACTAATACACTCACACACTCCCTCTTTGCAGAACTATTTTACAGCTTATCACTGGGTGTCTGGAGTCTGTTTACTATTTTGTATTTATGTGACGGATTTTTTGTTTGTTTGTTGTTTTTTTTTTAATTCTACCATGGTGTTTACTGAGGGAAGTGTGTGATTTTTGATTGCTTGATACCTCCTCTTCTCTTACTTCTTCTGAGCTTCTCTGAGAAGAAAATCCACCCTGCACAGAGATACAGAACAAGACTCTCATATGTCCTTAATATTAACTCAGCCTGGAGGTGTCTTATTAAAAGTTCATCCAGAAAAGGGATTCCCTGTTGGAATCTAATACTACAAAATTTACTGTGTCTTTTTTTTAATTCTTCTTCTTCTGACAGTTGCCACAGGGTAAAGACTTCCCAAGGAGTGATTTTATTATTATTTTTTTTGTGTGTGTGTGAATAATCAGGATTGTGCCTGGACAAGTAGGTTTGCCCTAGACCTGATGATTGTCATTCCTTAGCCTCAGGTGGGTTCCTCCTTGCTCTGTGATTGTAGAAGTTTAGCTGGGTTCTGGTCAAGTTGGATGTATCACCTGAGAAGGAGGACTGGATTTGTTTTGGTATTTGGGTCCCACAACTCCTTGGAAGGACTGAAAGAAGGAACCGACATTATGGAGACAATGAGGAAGAGCAAGTCACTATTTGGAGTTCTATTAATTTTCCCCTTGTTGGTTGATCGCTATCAGTTTACATCAGCAGAGGTCGCAGAACAAGCTTACGGTAAGGCTTGCATTTTGTTTGGTTTTTGGAACTGTACAGGCTAGCCCAGGAACTGATCAAGGTGAAGTTCAGTCTATGTGAATTCAATTGTCTGGCTGTTATAGCAGATTTGTGATTTCAGAAATGCTGGGGAAACCATAGATATACATTAAGAGCTGGTGTAATTTGTCTGATTTGGAGATGGTTATTTTACATGAGATACAGATCATTGTGTTCTTATCATTCTTAATTAATATAACATCATGTCCTGGTCCAATATTTCCATGGAATCTAAATAGAAATAGCAGGAATGTTGGATTTTTTTTATTATCAGATACATAGAGGAGTGTTGTCATTCATTATAGAACACTGAGCCTGCAAAGCCATGGAAAGAACTTAATTCGCACCTAAGTGTTCCAAAATGTATACAGTGTGCTAACACCCCTCACCCATCACTCACACACTACCTCAATGCATACACTAGGCAACATGGTATTTGCTTTGCTTTAAGTGTATCTATGTAACCTAATATATGTATACACACTCTGTCTCTCTTCCTCAGGGCTTACACTCTACTAAAGTGTAGGGTTTGCACAATAACACCCAATGGTTTGTGTGCATCTATACAACCTAATTAATGCATGGATTAATAATCTTTCAATTTCTCTCTCTTTCTCAATAAAATACTGTACTAAAGCATGATGTTTGCACAATAACACCCAATAGTTTGTGTATCTATATAATCTAACACACACACTCTCTCTCTCTCTCTCTCCCTCTCTCCTCCCCCACTGGATATTCAGTATATAAACATGGTTTGTACACAACAATCAAGTATATATAGAATAAGAACCAAATACACACCTAAATATGTACAATGTGCATATGCATGATGTTTTCACAAGAGCACAAAGTGTCATGTATGTGTATAGCATACTGGAGATACATACCCTCAGTGCATAAACATGGCTTCAGTATTTTTTTTTAATCAATATCCAGATATCTATGTAGCCTAAACAAAACACACACGCTGTATTTATGGGCAATAACAACTAATGGCATGTAGGTTGGTATCTTTAAAATCCAATATACAAAAAACACATATGTGTAATGGATTGTATAAAACAAATGTGGCTATAACAATTGGATTAGTGGAGAAGTGTTGCCAAGTAGATACTATTGCAAATAGTCAGTGAATGTAGTAATGGTGAAAAGAGTTGCATCAATAGGTGATTGTACAAACACATGAGACTGGAATACATGAGACAGCAAGGGGAGCCTTTTAAAAAAAAAAAAAAAAACTTTACACCTGGATGTGGTCAGCCTTATTGACTGGACAGAGAGGAAACAAAAATTCCTTGGAATGGAAACTGTCTATGCCCAATGATTTATTTTTATATCAGATACGCGCTTTGCTTTCCAATGCAATTGCTTGTCTTTATGTGAAAAAGTAAAATGTCTTTTCATCTGACATATTACTGTCAATCTAGGAGATAACTTAATTTAATAAAACCCCAATGTCCACATTCTACTATTAATCACTGTGCAGCTAATTAGTGCTATTATCTATCCTATAGGCCATTAAATTATTGCTGACAGTCGTTACTGTACATATGAAACATCTTCTAAAAATCCCCATTATCTGTGTCTTTCTAATTGGTCATTTGTTTCCTTTTTTTTTTAACCACTGACTTTCCCAAACAGGGTCAATTAATTCCCTTTGTTTCTATTTGTAGCCACTCCATATTCAGTCACTGACTTTTATTATTTAATGACAAGCTCTATGGGATTTTTAAGTAATGAAGTGCCAGGAGTTGAACCTTCCATTTATACCTTCTATGGTCAGTTGCCTAATTTAATGGTTTATCAGAACGTGAGAGATCTTGGCTCATCAGGGAAATAACTCAATTGACCTGGATATGGAAGATTTATTTTCTAGGTTGCATGCTAAACTTGTGAATATTATTATGAACTATATTAATGTTTCATTCCTCTATATTATAAAATTTGGATCTAAGCCCTTAATACAATTTTTAAATTATGTATATGCAAAGTCACTTTTATATTATGATATGATGCAATTAATATATTTATTCCTGAAATAAGGCCTTTTAGATCATTTAAATAATATTTAGTAGACCTAGAAGGAGCAGCAGTTGAATAGATAATATATGGTATTATAGAGTGCTCAAATTTGATGTAAAAAGTATTATGAGAATCTTAAGTGATGGCACATCGATGATTACATACATCACTAACAAGGAATCCTGAAAATCTTCAGTGATGCAATATAATAGACTGCTTGAAACAAAAATAAAAGGGTATTATGAAAATCTTGAGTGGTGGTGAATCATCAATTACAAGACTAAAGATAGAAAATAAATTATTTAAAACTTGAGTGATGGCA